ACCGGTGAGTTTTCTTGACTCGTTAGCTTGAATTTTATTGTGACGATGATACCTTGCTCTGATGATGTTCGTGATATGACGAACGAAAACTTAGCACCTTTTAACCGGAATCGAAGGAGATTATCTCGGAAACAGCGTCAGCATGAATCTTCCAGTAAAGCAAATCGACAGCTGGTCAAGAAAAATCTTCCGTCGTCTTTTGGTAGAACCGACCTTCGAATCTCTTAACCTAACACTTTCACTCGAAATGGAAGTAATCACTACAACTTCAGTTCTCACATTCTGAATTATGTCCTAACTATTAGTCCAAGAGGACTCATTCAAACCCAGTTCGCACGGCTAAAATTTATTACAAACTAGATTTGTAGTCTCGTTTGTTTTTCTAGATATAAGTCACGTTTATTATAGCATAATCAAATTCTCCTAAGCCCACAACAAACTTCGGGCAAGTTAAGCATACGTGATCAATTCACATCATAAAAGTTATATTAAAAATCTCCCTGTGTCGTTTGCCTAACAATGTATTAGAAATCTAGCTGGTCAAGAGGCATAACTGAGTTTTATACATCACATCCCTCATAGTAAGATAATAAATATAGGAAAAGTAACGGGGTTTGGATTGATCTCTTAAGATAATAGTGTTTAGGGGACTTTAATTTAGTAATAAAGTGCATAATTAAGAGATCCATAGGTCGATCTCACCAAAAGATGAAGGCTGATTCAATTTGTAGAACAGCCATTTGGCTTCTAGATGACGTTTCTATTGACGCCGTCCGCAAGACGTTCTCCTTCGTTTTGGGTAAAACTTGGCTGAGCTTCCGTCCATCACATGAAGGACATCATCAGAGCTGGAACTCATTCTACTTAAGTGTGTAAGTCAGGTTACGGAACAGTCTGTTATGACCTATCAGTCTAGAGACATTAAGGTTTAATGACCCAAGAAAGGCATGCCATGTAATTCCGTGATCTCATACGTATGGTTCGGTTGATGAGCTTAATCTAAATGTGGAAGAGTGTGAGTGAAGTTAAAAGCATCACTAAGGTGGCAGGTTAAGTCGCCTTCTATTGGATGGCGGCTCAAAGTATTTAGCCAATCCAACTAGCTGATCAAATGGTTATTATCCGCTAACCACACACTCCTAATGATCATTGATTTCAAAATTCAAACTATACTTTAGTAAATACGATCGATAAGAAAACCTATAAAGGAGCCAACATATGTTACTTTCTTATAAACATCTATTTCTAACAGGATACTCCTCCAGAACTCTCACTAGAGCCTGAACAGGAATATTTGAGTAAATAGACACATCAAAACGAAATAACCCAGGAAATTAGGAATTTTGCGCCTAAGATATGTTGTAATAGTCATGTTTATAACAAATTTATGTAATTCAGGTAATTAATTTATCTTATATAACTCTGGAGAATAGTGTGGAACATTTATCTGAAAGAGTATTGCATTTTGCCCATCTATAGATACTTGATGAATTAATTAGATTATCAGATAATTTGATTTAAAATTTAAAGAATTGTATTAAGTTAGTGATATCTCCTTTTGACCATATACTCATGCCAATGAAAAATTATGTTCTAAGTAGAGTTACTTGATGTTTACATCCAAATATTATAATTGCAATGAACGCAGACGAAGGTGGAGCAGTGTTAGTCATGGATAGGTTATGGTATACAGAAAAATCTAAATTAAATGATAATGATACTTATATGCCTTTAACGAGAGCTCCAATTGAGAGACGTGAAACCATGCTGAGAAGTGCACTTAGGGCATGCGTGGAGTGTGGAGGGTTTTCATGAAAGCCGCTCAAAAGGGCACATCACACTATATTTAGATAAACAAGGAAAAAAAATGTGATAGTTAAGTCGTGATACCAGGATATAGGATCGGTGAATAGCCCATGATAGGAGATATACCACAAGTGTTCAGCACATATTTGGTCAAATGATCGGCTTTACTTGTCTATTTGACGAGTTGTAGTGTGGTGCTAAGAATGGCAACATTCACTGACAATGCCGGCGAAACGTCCGGGAATGTACCATGTCCACGGTTCGACTTTGGAAATAATCATGGATACAATGGACTCCAGACAAGGTGCGTTCCTCTAAGTCTTCTTACCAATATGACCAATTTGCGAAAACAAGGTCAAACAACTTCTATACAACGAAAGGAGACTGCGATCACACAAAAGACAACATCATCTTGATCTCCATATCTTCGATTTACCTTTAGTCTTTAATTTTCTCTCCAGCATCCTATTGGTGTAACCCGTTCCCGAGCAAACTTTTTGGTCGATCCCAGGTTTGATTCGTATCACTGAAATGGCTTTTCTTGACTTCCCTTCATTCTCATGATCCGATCATTGGCGTTGTCTCTTCCTTTCCTGCCCCAAGCGTTTTCCTTTGATGTCTTCGCTGAATCTCCGAGTCTGATCAGGCAGTACGCGAGATTATCGCTGACTCTTCTAATCTCCTGTTTATCAGATTTATTTGAAACAAGATAACTACAGCCTCCTCGATCTTCCGTTTTCTGGTCTTATCCTCATATGAGGCCAGTATTTTCGTTGCATTTCAGTCAATTGTATGGCCGGTAAGGGCAATGTATTTATCTATCTCCGACCATTCCATATCCATTTTTCTACATAATCGCTGGATTTCTTTGATTATTGTTCTCATTGTCGTTCCCGTCTCTCCTATATATTTTTGTCTGCAGTCCTTGCAGCTTATGCTGTAAACTCTGGAGCACCCCATTTTGTTGACTTCATGTTTTGTGTGAATGCTGGCGAAGAAGGTCGTCCTTTCCTTCAAGATTGTACGAATGTTGATTTCCGTAGTAGAGTAGACATATCCGTCGTTTTTCGACTCTTTCCCATACTTTCCTTCTCTAATCTCCGTCGTTCTATCTGTTCATCGCCGTCCGTCTGTTGTGTTGTATTGTTTATTGTAGATATCCGTTGCGAAGCTACATTTGAATTAGTTTTTACGGTTCCTCTTCTTAGAAAGCATAAGTAGAAAATCGTAAGCGTTGTATGACCATACTCCGGAGTATTCTCATCTTCATTCCATAAGTATGATTAGACTGAAAGTTAAGGGTTATTTCAGCATTCGGAACAGTAATTTACTAAGTGTTCCAAGAGCGAATGACCTCCACACCCAAAGACGTCAACTGTTCATTTTCTTATACATCCATGAAAAATTTGACTTTTCATTAATTTCGTTTAAGATCGGGAAGTCGTCCAATTTTTTTCCATGTGACCAGAATGCGAAGTAGTCCTCCAAATATCGCATAATTACTGTTGAATGAAATGACATTTAGAAATTCTACACCAACTGGTTTATTTAGACATTAGCCAAAAGAGGGGAGAGTGGTGAGCCCAGGTACAGACAAAATATGTGTTCATATATTCGATCGTTGAATGTGAAGTAAGGAGTTCTTATTGCTAAATTGATTAACAAATTTAGATACTCTTTTCAGATCCGCTCAAACTTGGAATCAAGAATTAGTATGATTGGCAAACAAGAAGCCATGATTATGTATATAAGGATAATCTATTCATTCAATGTCTGATCAAAAAACTCATCAGCGTACGTACACAATAAAATTTAGCAAAGTGGAACCTCACATCTATGCTGAACTAAAGAGATATTGGGTATTAAAGCTTAACCAAGTATTGTAATCACAGAAGCAGTGAACAAATGAAAAGATAGAGATAGGCCTGATGCTGTGAAAACACGAAGCAAAAATGACAAAAGGACGTAGTACATTTTGGATTCTATGAAGGCTGCTTTAAAAACGAGTCCAAACAAATTCTATATAGGTTATTATAAGGTTTTCTGCGAAATCAATAATGATAAAAAGTAAGAGTTGTCAAAATTATTCCGCAAATTTTTTTTATTAAGTGAGCTGTGTATTGTGATAGGCATTAATACGGTTCAAGGTAAGAGATTGAGAGAACGTGTAAAAAAATTATTTTTTATACACGATAAAAGATGCTTTAGAAAATCAGGAAAAGTAGAGTTGGTTAAGCCAGAAGACTTAAATTACCGAAGCTCTGATTCCAGGGTACGTGACATTCGCTTGTAGAAAGGCCTTGAGGTAAAATATCCACTCCAGTAGTCATGATCACGATCCGCATAAGTGAACATGTCACCGACAAACGTCTTGAAGCTGCCCTGATGATTCGATAACTGAGTGGGTATTGTATCGGAGTCGACGCCAGCTAATTCATGAAGCCGATCAAAGTAGTTAGATAGAGTTGAAAACCTCAACTAAGATTGGAAGCAAGTGTATCAGGTCAGGGAGTTGAAAGTATGGGATTATGAAGCCTTTTAGAGTTTGTTAAAGATTAAAATTTAAATATAGCATGAGTATGCAAGGTGAAATAACTTTTTAATGCAAAGAGTGACTTTATCGCAATTAGTAATTGTAAAGATAATTTGAGTATACTGTCTGTGTATAAAATTACTTACGGTGATTCTCAGCTCAGGATGATCGTCATAATATTGAATTAATTTGCGGTAGTTTGAAACTTGAATATCCCATTCTTTAGTAGATAGAAATCGAAAGTCATCACCCAAAGGAACGAGAACTATGTTTCCCGTTTTGAAAAGGACAGCTTTTTTGCGATATTGGTCGGCTAGAGCAGCCGCCCTATTGACAGGAATGAGGAATAGAGCAATAAGAAAATATTCTTAAATAGAAAAAATGATTATTGCCCAAAATTTTAATAGATCAGCAGATATTTTGAAGAATTTTCCATAAAAAATACAGTTCATTTGGTTGTATCCCTGAATTCATATAAAAAGGCGAGCA